AAGTGGCTCACATATCCATTCCTTAACAACTAGTTGCTAGTGGCTCACATATCCATTCCTTAATATCTAGTTGCAAGTGGCTCACATATCCATTCCTTAACATCTAGTTGCAAGTGGCTCACATATCCATTCCTTAACATCTAGTTGCAAGTGGCTCACATATCCATTCCTTAACCTCTAGTAGCAAGTTGCTCACATATCCACTCCTTAACATCCAGTTGCAAGTGGCTCACATATCCAATCCTCAACATCTAGTTGCAAGTGGCTCACATATCCACTCCTTAACATCTAGTTGCAAGTGGCTCACATATCCAATCCTCAACATCTAGTTGCAAGTGGCTCACATATCCATTCCTTAACATCTAGCAGCAAGTGGCTTACATATCCATTCCTTAACATCTAGTAGCAAGTGGCTTACATATCCATTCCTTAACATCTAGTAGCAAGTGGCTCACATATACATTCCTTAACCTTTGGTAGCAAGTGGCTCACATATCCATTCCTTAACATCTAGTAGCAAGTGGCTCACACATACTTCACTTTTTTTGTTACAGTTAATTTTTAATTATTCTGTATTTACCTGTACACAGTGGTCAGTTATAGGTTCTTGATATATTTGGGTTTTTCACTATTTTGTTACAGTTAACTATTAATTGTTCTTTATTTAACTGTACGTACTGGTCAGTTATAGGTTATTGTTATATTTGGGCTCTTCACTTTTTTGTTACAGTTAACTATTAATTGTTCTTTATTTACCTGTACATACTGGTCAGCTGTGGGTTGTTATACTTGGACTGTATATTTTCTTTGTTTACACTTACCTGTACACAGTGGTTAGCTATGGGTTATAGTTATCTTTTACGTTCTTTCTGAAATAATTGATCTTCAAATACCTGTACACAGTTTTCAGCCTTGGGCTCCAGTTCATCTATACTAACTTCCAAGCTCAGTAAGAATTGGTCTTCTAAGAACCCTTGTTTACAACCCATGGTGGCATGTGGTCTTCTGAAAAGGAATGGAATGGAGACAGCAAAGCCTGCCATGTCTATAGCAAACTTTCTAGCCTGGTCTTCGTTACCTGATATAGAGTGACACTCAGTAACAAAGAGTGATTTTGAAACATTGCTAATTTAGAATGTTTTACAAGTTTCAACCTGACTTGTATAGCTTTGGTTGAAGTTATTACAAAGTTTAATTGCACTTTATAAGAACATATTTCCTCTATTGATGGTTGTATTAATTAAGATGACTATAGTTACACACTATTATCCAACACCATAATTTCCTTTGTAAAAAGCTTCTGTATAGGACGACAAGATCAGTATTAGATTATACTTTCCACAAGCACTTCAATTTAAACAGACTTTGGTTTCAAAGACCACGTTTAAGCAAATCAAATGTACAAATGTTTATGTATATTGAGGTAACTTCTTGGGTATGATGGAGAAGGAGATAACATGAACACTGGTTTCTTTCTTTATAGATCATACATCTTTTTGGGGTTCTGGCCATACATTACAAAATTTTTTTTTTTATCTTGTGTAACTGATATCCGTACATTCTCCTGATACCAATTTCAGTTTACTTCGTTTTACTCTTCACTTTATGACAACCACATAGCCCAACAAAAAGCATTATTTACATTACGTGTACAATGTTGTAAATTTGATACAAGCTTCTGTTCGGAAACATATCAGGCCTTGTCCAATGCTGTAACAAACTTCATTTGTAATAAGCAAAGAATCTTTCAGTTTTCTGCAACTTGGCTTTCTCTCACCTTGTATCTAGAGAGGTGCTTGTGCTTTTGTGTTCTTGCTCCCTTATCAGACTGAATTTGATTTTTAAGCAGTTGGATTGGATATGTTAACAATCCCATTTAACTTATGGGTGGGATTGGAGGGTTCTTGGACAATTTGACTGTGTGCTGGTGCTGTTTAGATAGCTTTACACCACCCCTTTGAGAGTACTCGTGCCGTTTAGATAGCTTTACACCACCCCTTTGAGAGTTCTAATGGTGTTGATATATGTCCTACCATAAGTATCCCTTGTGGCATTGCACTATGAACTAGTTGTGTGTTCACAGAGAAGCAGATGTGTAGGTGTTAAAGATGACGCTTATACTCCCTCAGCAACCTTCCTCTGCATTACTATTTGGATATTATTTTAAAAAGCAACTAATCCTCTGTAACAGCTTTTACTTTAGTGTGTAACTAAAAACTAAAGGACTTAATAATTTTACAGATGACTGTATTCCTGATTATATTTCTCTTTATTTCTTCTCATGGTGACCCTTGACATCTAACACAGTAGATTAAATTATGAGTGAAATGTACTAACCTCGAAAACCATCATGAAAGCCGACTACATTTCCATTCTGTACAATCGGAGACCCAATGGCGTACATTCTTGAGGCAAAACCAACAGGCCAAACCGACACTTTTTTGGTCCATCTTATCTGGAAGTAAGACAGTGTTATCACAATTTTGTTGATCAGTTTCAATAATAAGAATGTTGTTGATTTGGTATTTATTATAAACTAGAGTTAGAAGTTTGTTTATTAATTTTACAAAATAAGCCAACTGGTTGAAATTATAGAGCAAGTTTGGCCTAATGGATAGTATATCTGGATGTGGATTGAAGAATACATGAGACTGCATACACTGCACTTTTGGACATGTTATAAAAGTGACAATCACTCTTGTTATTTGGTTTGAAGACAAAAGCCCTTCGGGTGGCAGGTACTGCATGCTGTCTGCCTTTCCTCTGCTGTATAGTTTAAAATTTGTAATGGCTATACCCAAATCCTAGGGTCAGATTCAGAAGGACTAGTCCTTGTATTAAATATGTGTACAACAGAAACATCTGTTTAACCACGGTCCAAGTGATTATTATTGTATGGTAGGGTTGTTGTCCTGGTCAGATTCAGAAGGACTAGTCCTTGTATAAAATGTGTGTATAACATCTGTTTAACCACAGTCCAAGTGGTTATTAT